TTTTTTGCCCCTCCACATTCTTTCTTTTTCTCACATTCCATGCCCCCTTTCTCTTTTTTCACCTTCTGACTTCCTTTCTCCCTTATTTATTTTTCCCTTGTGTTTTTACTCTCTCGTCTCTATCTCTCACTCTCTCTTCCTGTCTCTTTTCCCTTTCATCTCTCTTTCTCTGACTTTTCAACTATCGCCCTCCTTTCCTTCCTCACCCTTTTGCCCCCTCTCTCTTTCTGCCTCGTTGACCCTCCACTTTCTCTATTTCCTCCCTCTCCCTCGCATGGTCTCTCTCTTCTCTCTTTTGTATCCATTATTTCTCTTTCCCTCTCGCTCGCTCGCTCTCTGCCTCCCTGCCTCTCTGTTGCACCAACCCTTCTCTCTCGTACTTTCCATCTCTCATCTCTTCCTCTATGTCTTTCTCCTCTCTCTCTCCTCTCTCTCCTCTCTCTCTCTTCTCCCTCCCTCCCTCCCTCCCTCCCTCTCCCTCTCCTCCCTTCCCTCCGCTCCCTCTCTCTCTCTCCTCTCTCTCTCTCTCTCTCTCTCTCTCTCTCTCTCTCTCTCTCTCTTTCGCTGGCTTTCATTCGCATGCACTATCTCGCTCTCTCTCGCTTTCTCTCGCTCGCTCGAGCGCTCTCTCACGCGCTCTTTCTCTCTTTCTCGCTCACCATCTTTCTAGCTGCATATGTCTCGCAAGTTGTACAGCGAAGGTAGTTCCAGAAAACATGCCGGCATTGATTTCTGCGTCCTGTAGCCGCGCCGCCGCTATTGCATGCGCTGGCTGTTCGTCGGTGGCAGCTCTCCCACACCTCTCTCTCTCGCTCTCTCTCTCTCTCTCTCTTTCTCGCCCGGCCGTATGGCAGATACTGCCGACGCTGCCACCACGCGATGACGACATCAGCTCACCGCTCACTTTCTTCTCGTCCTTATATTATGCAAAACAGCGCCGTTTGATAGCCTTCAATGGCTCATCGATTTTTGCGCGCCTAATGAAGCGTTTTCCATGGCCGCGCTCGTGTGGTCCCTGACTAGTGAGAAACGCTGAGCTGTTGATCGGCGCTATAGCGTCGCATTCGTGTAATATGTCCGCTCAGTCCTCGACGGTCCCGGCTTGTCCGTATATACTAGTCTACCTTGTTCTGCCAATGTTGGATGTATCTGTGCTTGCGTAGCTTGCACCGACTAGCAAGACTAGCCATACCCCGTGCACGGCAGTACACTGCAGTGACTGGGCAGTTAATTGCTTGGCATCGTATGTAGACATCTAAGCAGCCCTGAGCAAGATGTCACACTACTCTTCCCAGAATAGAAAGTGTGCATGCACGTAGTCGATCTGACAGTCTTCGAATTGACAAAGGACACGAATGTGGCCACTACATGTGGCCTGCACGTACATTATAGTTTATACTGTACGTGTTGGCTATGCATGTTATCAAGAGCTACTAAATACGTATATATATAATATACCAAAGGTATTTATTAGCTCTTGATGTTATAATTATGCTACGCCATAGATATTATGAGCTGTGATAGTTACGCACGCGGATTACGCCTACTAAATGTAATCCTTGTGCGAGAATGTGCTCTCAGCAGAGGGGGTAAAACTATATTTCCTACTATCGCCTCGATAAGCTCGCCATTATAACACAAGGTCACGTGTATCGCAGCTTCTTCATCTGCTTCTAATAATGCATTTCGGTAGTCAGTGGTGAACGGGTAGTAATGCTCAGAAGCCGATTATATGTTATAGTGATCTGATGTAGATGTAAGCCCAGCAACCATCAATAGATGAGTGAGTTGTTATTGAATGACCCACCATTTCTGTTGAAAGTCTGTACTGCTTGCCTTCCCATGACGTTCTATACTGCTATACTTTCACATGCTGGAAATAGACGTTTGATAAGTTAAGTTACTGAAATTGCGAAATAATGATTGCTTATGAAGACGAAGATCAAGGTTACGATAGAAAGGGTGCTGCCTGCGTCTCATTACAACATTAGTTGTATACAACTGTCACGACCACCTCTCATCGTGTTAGCATATCATTTCATCACGGCGATTAAGAAGGGTGTAAGCAAGTTTTTCGGTAAGAATTATGTTTCACACTTCATTATTATACGAATATACTAATGAATGTTGATGAGCATCGCATATCAGTAGATGCATTTCGTAGACAGACAATGGCGTTTAGTGTGTCACTAGAGCCGTCGTGCATGCATGGGGGTTCCTAGATTAATTTTTCAGTCGGTGTCAGGCAGAGATTTTACTGCTGTTATTTGGTAATTTTTATAATTATTAGTTTTATTATTACTAATGATGAACGCTAGAGCCAGCAGCCGGAGCGTGGCATTGCGCGTGCATACATGTAATGTACGCTATTAGCCTATTGGCGTAGTCTAAAGCCTATAGCGCAGACTTGCAACTTTTTCATGCAACTCGGCAGCGATTCTAGAATCGCAGTCGAAATGGCTGTGAAATCGCTACGTCTACATGGAACTGCAACTCATAGCGATTCTGGTCGCTTGCAACGAGTTGCAAGAAATCAAACTGATTTGATTTTCAGCAACTCGTCGCTCCCAATCGCTCTGAAATCGCTTCGAAATCGCATGTGTGCGCGTAGACAGCGACTTGCAACGATGAAACATTCTCGTCAGACCAATCAGCGAGCACCATCTCATCACGTGAAAAATGTGTTATTATGTATGTATCATGTCTCTATTCATCGGAGCTGCAACACTGAAATAATCTTGCATTAAATATATAAAGGCCTGCGTATGAAGAGTTATATGTAGAATATATAATTCATGATTTAGTCATGATTTAGAATACTATATAATTATTTCTTAATCATCATAATAATATCATATATAAAGCATACTAATATATTGTCTCATTGGGTAAATTTTCTACCACAGGATTGAATGTTGTTGGGTGAGTTATGGCAAATCGATTTTTAGCTCACCTTGACATCGTCAAGCTGAGCTATTGCCATGGGTCGTCGTCCGTCGTACGTCCGTCCGTCCGTCCGTCCGTCCGTCCGTCCGTCCGTCCGTCCGTCCGTCCGTCCGTCCGTCAACATTTGGTTTCGGTCAACGATAACTCAGGAACCGTTTGACCCACATGTTTGAAATTGGGTGTAGTTGTTACTGCTATGCTCCCATATGGAACGTCCTATTTTGGAGCACGCCAGTCGGCGTACTTTCGAGCCACGGCGATTTTTTGGGAAAAATGGAAATTGCCATTAGTCAGTTCAGGTTAAACGGATTTTGCTCATTTTTGGTATGTGAATGAATAAGGGCTAGGGGTTTTGATATTTAAAAAACAAATATGCAAATTAGGTAGGGTTTGGCAATTATTTAGCATATTATATAAACACAAACCGTCTGTGGTGTCACACTCGTCTGGTTCGTTTTACAAGATTTCATTGACAATATCTTTAATGCAAAATTGGTATTTCCCTCTCCACCCTTGCCGATAAAACGTCTATATTAGGAGCTAAAGGATTTTACAAAACATGTCGCGAACGCGAGCATAACCTATTTATTTTCGAACACCATCGCTACAAAGCGGGCTGTAGAGCATCTATGGTCAACAAATTGTGATTCATTTTGGTTTATAAATTATTTTGCGATAAAATCAGATGCAATCGGTTCTATAATTGTACGTCGCATGGTGCCTCAATTAAACTGACTTCTTCTTAACTCACTCATTGTGTCTTTTTTTGTGAGTGAGCCTACAGTTGTCATTGACGCATTTCATCTTTAAATAGTGCGGAATGGCCCTATTTATTAATATCAAGAGAATAATACCTTATTTAGCAGATATTATTAAGCTAGGTATTATTGAGCCCTAGGTATTAGCTAGGTATTATTAGCTAGGTATTAGCTAGGTATTATTAGCTCTTGATAATATGAGACTCCACCTAGTGTTAGTGTCATGTAATCTCCTAAAACATTGAACAAAACAAATCATGGAAAGACAACAGCAGTCGCTTGCATGCGCACACGCTATGAGGCGTGCGACCGATCGCTTGCGGTTGCAGGTTGCAGCGACGAGCAACCAAAAATCGCAGGTCTGCGCTCGGCTTAAGTGCGTGTGCTGTGCGTGGTGCGTGCACGTGAGTATGTCACGTATTGCCTGTTTCAGTCTTGTTTCATAGATGAGCGAAGAAAGAGAAATCCACTGACTGTTGGAAATCCCACATATGAATTAGAAAAATAGATATATGGATATGGTATAGAAAGGAATCTAACAATACTAACAATATATATGGAAATATTGATTAATATAAGAAAGGATCCTGCATATGGTTAGTTCTAGTTTTGTAGCCCTTATGTAGCGTTACATGGGCAGGACTAGCATTCAATCTATGGGAACAAAATTCTGACCAAATTGTGTCAATTACCACTATGATATTTTTGCTGTAACTGCGATCCCTGTGAAAAGAATAACAACGTTATTTTTCACTGTATACTTAACGTGTACGTGACATTCACGTGGCAAGTCGTTAAAACACAATGTTTTGCTTCCTACCAATGCGCTGCTTGATGCATTGGTGTTAGTGAGGTTACTATAAACAAGCAATCATTTTGGGATGGCCGTACCTGCTATTAATATTTGTTAGTTGATATAATGTCTGCGAGGCTGAAATTTATCGCAGTCTTTATCGATGCTTATTGAGCACAGATTATTGAGCACATTGAATACAGATACCTTTGTTCACGTGTTTCCATTTGTTTTCACATTCATATAATGGTAAGTTGCTTGTATAGAAGTTATTGTCTTCAGTTTGGTACCGATTAACATTTTGTTAGTCATTTCCACGCTGATGCCGGTGTGTTCGCGCACCAATCAATAGTATTACAGTATGGTTAACCATTTTTGTGACACGTGTAAAATGTAATTAATTAGTTTTACTTGTCTTTTTGCATACATCACGTACGATGTTTCGACCATCCGTGATTTAATTTCCGTTCATTACAACTTATTTTGTTTTTTTATTATTTTAGCGGAGTTCATCAGTATTTATCTGGAGAGTCATTCTCAGAATTCCAGAAGAGCATGTATTTCTCAAGGCTTCTACAATGGAAGTGGTTAGAAAGGTAATTATAATAAGTTAGACAAACAGAAAGCTGGGATCATCCCACAGAACAGGCTGACTCGGGCATTAATAGAGCAAAATCGATGATGCATCTTCAGTAAAAACTGCTTGGATGGTTTGACAGTACACAAAATTTTCCATTCATAATTCAAATATAGCTTGTTAAGTGATGTAATTAAAGTTCATTGTGCTAAAACTATTAAGCACATTAGCTAAGGGATGTCACAGTAGGCCCATGGCGCCAATATCCTGAGCGTTGTTGTTACTATGGTGAAGAGCATGATGCTCTATGTTCACAGATCGTGAGTAAATGAACGAGAGTTCATCATGATGTTTGTATCCCTACGTCGTGCAACTCTCCAATACGTATATAGGTGTGGGCGTCTGACAGCCACTTTACCTTGACTCAATTACTATGAAGAGGCAAAGTCCCAAGTCCGTTTTCTAACATATATATATATAACGCTACACGTGCATCTGTCCATTCATCAACAATAGTGCCAAAATTGTAATTATCACAGTGTATGAGACCTGTCAGAGGCCCTTCATAAGTACACAGTCAAAATGACATGATTAAAATAGGTCAGTTTTCATATATTGTTAAGAACCCAGTATCTTTTTATGCTCTTGCACTCACCTATTGTCGTAGTTACTTTATTGAAAGGGCCATGAAATCATACCGTACCACCAAATCTAAGGAAGCGACATTTTAACTTGTACAATTCTCGGTGCATATCTTGAAAATGTGTGCAGGCTGGAAACGTGGTAATTTTGATAACTGTGAAATAGTCCATAACTATGCTTAATCAAAATTGGTTAAGTTAGTGCAAAGAGTGCTGAAGTGGCTGTGTTTATCTTTCTTGAAAGTAAAGCATGTACAGGGTGATCCAAAAAAAATGCAACCCAAACAAGGGTTAATAACTTTTTTGATATTGATGTTAACCTTTTCATTTTTCAGATTTAAAGAGGTGAATAGTTGCCAATCAGATCAGAATCAAGAGTTTTTCAAGAATCCTTGGACTCTTCGACAGAAATCATGGTCCGTAGAAACGTACTTTTCGACCAAATCGTTCAAAACTGTACAAGCACGTTTCAAGAGGGAATTCAATTGCTGCACCTATCAAAACAAAGGACTCATTCTAAGATGGGTACATAAGTTCAGGGTGCATGGGACTGTCAAGAACCTCAATGCCAAAGGGAATACTCCCACACACTCAGGGAGACAAAGGAGTGCAAGGACAGAGGAGAACATCACCTCAGTCAGGACCTCGGTTGGCCGCAGTCCAAAGAAGTCGTTACGTTGGCGCAGCCAACAATTAGGCATTCCGAGGGAGTCTCTGAGGAGAATTATCTGGGTCAGCTTATGCTTAATTTCTATCCTGTATGGGTACGAATGCAGATCCTGAATCAAAATTCTCCTCAGAGACTCCCTCGGAATGCTCAATTGTTGGCTGCGCCAACGTAACGACTTCTTTGGACTGCAGCCAACCGAAGTCCTGACTGAGGTGATGTTCTCCTCTGTCCTTGTACTCCTTTGTCTCCCTGAGTGTGTGGGAGTATTCCCTTTGGCATTGAGGTTCTTGACAGTCCCATGCACCCTGAACTTCTGTACCCATCTTAGAATGAGTTCTTTGTTTGGATAGGTGCGGCAATTGAATTCCCTCTTGAAACGTGCTTGTACAGTTTTGAACGATTTGGTCGAAAAATACGTTTCCACGGACCATGATTTTTGTCGAAAAAGTCCAAGGCATCTTGAAAAACTCTTGATTCTAATCTGATTGGCAACTATTCACCTCTTTAAATCTGAAAAATAAAAGGGTTGACATCAATATCAAAAAAGTTATTAACACTTGTTTGGGTTGCATTTTTTTGGGGTCACCCTGTACATTTTGCAAAGATGCAGCGTAAGATGGCTAAGCTGGACAGTAATGAATAGTGTCGTTGCTAAATATAAATAGTAAGTCTTTTATCACATACCCTAGGCATGAATTTAGAGTCTGTTCTCTAGAGGCAATGTATTATAAGATATATAATACTGTCCGTGCGTAATGCCATATAATCTACCTGTATGAGAAATATCTTAAAAGTCATTTGCCAACATTGATGTGTAAATCCATTATGCCTATCACTGTGAAAGTCAGTCTATAACTTGAGGTTATGTGTTATACATGTGGGTATGAGCATATCTAAAACGGACTTTTCACGCGTATAGTTGTTAAATTAAAGGACATGGAATGGCATAGGTTCGAGAAAGAAGGAAAGATTCAAAATGTAATAGCCCAGTACTACTAATTTATAGAACGACTGATTACCACAGCAGCATGGCCTGTGGTGGTTTTTCTGTCGGTCTTCCTTTCCGATGATTGCTGAATGCTGACGACGTTGTTCGATTTCTTTGCAGCCAACCTATAACAAAGAACTATTTTCGACAATACCGAGTGTTGGGAAAGGGGGGTTTCGGAGAGGTGTGTGCGTGTCAGGTGAGAGCCACGGGCAAGATGTACGCCTGCAAGAAGCTGGAGAAGAAGAGGATAAAGAAGCGAAAAGGAGAGGCCATGGCATTCAACGAGAAGCAGATCTTGCAAAAAATAAACTCTCGTTTTGTGGTGAGCATCTATAGTTTTTGTTTGTGAAATGTTGACAAGTGTGATGGGGGGGGGGCGGTGTGTTTTGGTGGTCCTTCATTGGTCACACCACCAGCGAAAGCGCATCTAGCGGGGCTATTTGCTTGTAATTGACACGTTATCTAAACGTATCCTTCTCGTTACCTAGCCTGTCGTTAGACTCGCCACCCGCCGTGATCATGTGCACTTCCCCTCTCCACATGTGCGGGTGCCCTTCAGTCGGGCTTCCTGTCTACCTCGAGAGTGGGACTTGCTAGAGACATGTGTCAATTATTCTGTCCCGTTACACATTAGTTAAGCTTGTTGATGGCATGTCAGCGATGTCACCAAGGTCATTTGTAAGCACCGCACGGTGCAAGCTGTCTGCACGACTACCATACAAGCTAAACTTGAGAGTTCCACGTGCTATACTTTGACGTTTACAGTGCATAAATCGGTCGGTCTGTTTGAAGCATCGGTCGGGTTAAAACTGGTGCACATCCATGGACGATTTTCTGTCGCATGGACATAGCACTGTGCTCGCGCACTCACTGCTAGTTCAATGTGACGTCACCGAGACGTGACCACTCGCTCGATGTCAAACTTGTTGGATGTGAGCGAACAAAAATCGCTCGTGGTCGTGAGGCTCTAATTGGTACTAGCAAAAGAATTATGTCCCTTATACGTTAAAAAAAACTAGCGAGACATTGTTTGTGTTTTGAGACATTTTTATTCTCTCTGTTTGTTCACGGAGTATCATCGATCGCGAAGTTCTCGTGTGCCTATTTTTTGTCCGAGAACAAGCAGTCAAGTGGCCAAACGTTTATCTATTTTTAACCATCTTAAGAGACTTCCTCACTGTAGCTTTTTATGTCAAAACACGCAATAAAAATGTGTTTACGATTCTCTGCTAGCACGTAACCTACTTATATTTTAATGGAGCTGACAAGGCAGCCAGGTAGTGCAGTATTTACTTTGTGTCAATTCAGTGATATTTAGATATACCCACTGGTTTCATCTGCCCTCGGGGTCGTCAGCACGCTCCTCTCTCTCTCTCTCTCTCTCTCTCTCTCTCTCTCTCTCTCTCTCTCTCTCTCTCTCTCTCTCTCTCTCTCTCTCTCTCTCGTCTGCTCTCTCTCATCTCTCTCTCATCTCTCATTCTCTCTCTCTCTCTCTCTCCGTCTCTCGTCATCTCAGTCTCTCTCTCGTCTTCTCTCTCTCTCTCTCTCGGCCTCGCTCCTGCGCCTCGCCTTCCTCCCTCCCGTCTCTCTCACTCATCTCAATCTCTCTCTCTCAGTCTTCATCCTCATTCTCTCGATCATCTCGATTCTTTTCTCTCTCTCTCTCTCTCTCGTCTCTCAATCTCTCTCTCTGCTGCTGC